AATAACATCTCCAGATACTGTTTGTTTAACTCCCCCGTCCAGAGAAGATGCATCTGGAAGAGAGGATCCAGGTTACCTCTGCTGGACCAACAGCCTGCACCTCTACATGTTTGATGCTGAAGATTCAACTCAGTCATTCCAAAAAAGTTCAAAAACAACCCACTGGACTTTCTGTTTGTAGAGAGGTTGTTTGGTTTCTTTATATTTCTTTATATTGGAGAAACCAAACAACTTCTCCACAGACGCATGGTCCAACACAGGAGAGCGCCCTCCTCTGGACAAGACTCTGCAGTACATCTATACCCCACCTCTTTACAGAAGAACAGAAGACCTCACCTTTCAACAACAATTCCCTCTAACGACCCTCCTTTCAGAGACATAGACAGGTATGGGGCATTGCAGGCTAACAAAGAAGCCAAACGACCCCCATTCCACAGGGGGGGACCCATTCATCCGTTTCTATTTGCATGTTTTCTAAACTAAAATAAGGCTTTGCTTTGGTCCACTCTATAAAACCTGGAACTCAACGCCATTTCTGACATTTTAAGTTGAAAAAGCTTCCTGGATGAGAAGAGAAACATCTTCAGACTTGGAAACAAAGTCCAGTGGATTGATTTTTAACTGTTTTGGAATGACACAACATGTTTGGTACCAAAGCTAAAGACGTAGCAATGAACGTCCCAGACCAAAGGGGGCGCCCTGTGCCCCAAAACACTGAAACTAGGAACAAATGAAGAACGCTAACAAGAAAAATCTCCCCTTGAGAAGAAGAAGAAAAAGAAGATAAGTTGTTGCGAGAGGCAAAGTGGAGAATCTAACGTTAGTGGTTTTGGATTTAAAACCGCTAACCCTTAATTATCTTGAGCATCAGAACGGGACGGCTTCTTCCCTCAAACAGAGAAGGAATGAAGTCGTTGCTATGGCAACACAGTGTGAGGCTGTATTTCTTTGGTGCAGGGGGACATAAAATCAAACGTTTGCAGCTTTATCAAAAAAAAATAAAATTCATATGCTCAGCTAAAACTATAGGACCTTCCATTTTGGAATTAATTTCGTTTTGTTTTCTTATACCTAACTTGTTTTTTTCATTCAGTGTGATGAAGATGCAGCAAACTAGAGGAGCTAAAATTTAAATGTACGTGTTTCTTCCGTCACTAGTTCGCTGTTACGCCTGTAACTGATGCAGACTCGCTATTTAAGGGCCGAACGTTCCACTGGCCGTTACCCTCTACGGGGTTTGGGACGGCACTTAATGTGGCGGTCCCTCAGAGGGTTATCGGCCAATCAGAGCTCAGAAATCAGGGTGTTGCTACGGTAACAGAAGGAAAGGCAGCTACTTTCTGCCAGCATGAAGTCTCTAAAATGCAAGAAAACCAATCAACTTTAACCTTAGCTAATGAACCACTGAGTGATAGCTGCTGTTCATTCTCAGAGAGAGAGCAACATTTTACAGCAGATAACAGGAAGGCTGCAGCTATTGAGCGCAGGTTCCTGTTTTATCACTTTTAGCTGCAGCCTCTGTCTGTTAAGGAGCGTGATGACAGGAGAAGATTAACATCTACGATCTCTGCTGATTCCATACAGACATGGCGGCTTTAGCTATGCTAGCCATGCTAGCTGCTACAGGCGCTGAAACCGGTTTATATCTTTATTCTTTCAATGTTTGATCAGAATCTGTAGCTGTCGGCACCAGTGTTTTATTCTCTATTCTTATAAGAATTAGAGGCGTCCCAGTATAGCTTTGCCATTTCCAATACGATACCAATATCGCAGCTTTGAGAAATAGCTGGTTCCGAAATCGGCCCGATACGATATTAGCACGAATCAAACCAGCTTTTTTTTACTTATTCTATAATGTAGAATATTAAAAAAAGGCTGGATCAAGTAATTTACTGAAACAGGGAACAAAAGTGAAAAAGAAAAAGAATGAAAACAAATTAACCATGAAAAATTAACCCCTGAGTTGCAGGAAGGTTTATTATAAGCAGAGATTTTCTATCGACAGAAAATATCAGAGATTTTAGAGGCCGGCCGATAAAATCTGATTCTAATATCAGACTGGGGCATCCCTAATAAAATTATTAGAAGGTCCAGAATTGGTTAGCATTAGCAAGAGCAGCTAACATGTTGAACAGGAGTTTTTGGGGTTTGAGGATCCATTTAACACCCAATGTGTTCGGTAGAGGAACCACCAAACCCAGTTAGGAAAACACAGCTGGTTCTGATGGTCTCTTAAGTTGCTCCTCAAACCCTTTGCAGGGTTTAAGGAGCAACTTCTGGTGTCCAGAGGTGTTGTTCTGTTGCCTGATGACATTGGAGCAGAATCCAAACAACGTGCAGCTATAAATACCCCCCCACACACACACTCAGACAGCTGAGATGCCAGCTGAGGGCTGCTGCAGCTACCCACGCTAACTTTAGCCACACGCGCAAAGAGACGACCCGAAACCCAGAGAGTCCTGGTTCAGACCTGCTGAGGACACGGATCAGGCACAACCCGGTACCACGGCAATGACTCTGACCGGGAACCAGAGTGAAACTGGGTCTGAGGAGAGTCTGTCAGAACCAGAGCTCGTATTAGGGGGAAAAGTTAGGAAGATTCTAAAAAGATATGCCCCAATAGATATGTCGCATTAAATAAAATCCAGCAGTAAAATAAATCCATCCAAGTTTTTGTTATCCATCAGTTTATGCAGTTTAAAGTCGTAGGGAAGTCATATTTAAATGTCAAATCAGAGAAAAAAAAAATTTTTTAAATCCTGTCTTAAAATCTGTGTTTTTTTTCATTATCTTCTGCAGGCCAGTTAGTTCTACGTCAGCCTGAACACCTAAATTCGGCCAATCAGATATCAACGGTCATCTGTCAATCAAATGTTTTCGGTCATAGCATCTTGATTCATGTGTCGCAGCTAATATACGCATCGGTTGAAACCAGAATCCTTTCCTTTCCCATTGAGTTGCGTCCCAGTGTTCACGGGGATGGACGTCTGTGTCTTCAGCAGGCGTAGAGCTAACAGAACTGGCAGCGTTGCGAGGCAAGGGCTCAAACATGTACGGCTGGAAGCCTTCTACACCAAACCAAGCTTCTGCCGCCCTGGCGTCCTCTTCCACAACATCTTCGTCCCCGCTTTCCTCCTCTAAATAAAAAATGGATGACGGAGGAGACTCATCTACGACCTCGGACACTAAACTCTCCTCCTCTTGCATGTTTCCGCTGTCCATAGCGTTCCTTGACAGCGTCGTTTCTAAGTCACCAATTTAGTGCTACTTGGTCCCAATGGAATTTCCCATTGGGAACCTGCTAGCACTAAGATGCTAACTGGTTAGCAAGATGCTTCCCACAAACCGGCCACAACCAAACGTGTTCTGATAATTTTCCTTTGTAGAAATTTTACAATAAAACTTGCATTTTAAAATGCAAGCTTTAAAGCTTGCATTTTTTTATTTTAATGTCTTCCACAGGGCCCCAAATTCCTGACAGGGCCCCTGGCTCCAGGTGTGGAAAGAACCCACCTGAGTGGAGACGTCCCACACTCTGTGGATCATTTAATCTGTTTTAGGTTTTCCTGTTTTACCTGATTGTCTTTGTTTCAGAGCAGAGACGAAGTATGAGGAGAATCAGCGGTAAAACCACAGGAATGTTGGTTAGAGGGACCGAAACCCACCCGGTTCACCCAGAACACAGGTTCTGTTCAGCCCGATTATCAGCTTCTATATGGATTCAGCCCTTTCAATCATTACCATTTAGCCTCCAGCTAACATTTAATCTGCATCTGAAGGGAAAATATTCATCATCATCATCATCATCAACCATGTTTCTATCAGTTTGGCAGAAGAACTGAGGCAGAACTTCTGGTTCTGATGAGGTTTGGGTCGCAGGATGAATTAGATTCTACATCATTAAAGATCAAACAGTCTAATAAAAATGTCTGATAGGTTTAAATATTAAATATTATCTTACTTATCCACATAAAACACTTATTGGTTCCTGTGGTTGTGTTTCAGCCAGCTGGCTGGCAGTCCACAGCAGCAGGAGCGGTTCTGTCTCTAAATGATGGCAGGAGGTTTTCTATCTTTTTTTTCTCTACTTTTATCAAACTGAATCTTTAGAACCTGATTTTCTTTTTGTGACGTTTAAATAATAAAAACTGTGAAACAGATTAAATGTTTTAATCTTTGGATTAAATCTCTGCAGAAGTTTCCCATCAGGAAATCAGAGACGTGATTCTGTGATTTAATTTGGATTTAATCCTATTTTCCTCTAACTTTCCACAGCGAGCGGAGCAGCAGGAACCATCAGAGCGGCCCAGTTTGATACTGGGAGGAAAAGATGGGAACCAATCACTGCTGCAGACAGAGATCCAATGATGACATCACGGATCCAGCTTCTGCTGCTGGTCCGTTTGCTGATGGAAGAAATACTGCAGCATAATCCGTCTGAATGGGATTAAATTACTTCTATAAACTGATTTCTATGATTTCTGAGGAGGAGTTAGAAAATGTAGCAAATACTGAAGGAAGGAGGGATAAAACAGGATAAAACATCTGATTTATAAACATTAAAAACCGTTAGTAACCTTATTTATGCGTTATTAACAGGTTATTAAGCAGGTCTTCTTCTTTAGACATATAATTAAGAAATAAAGTTTTAATCCAGGAAAATAAAAATAAACCAAATCCATCCAGGAGTTCTGATGGCTTCATTGTTGCTGTGGTTCTGATGCCAGTTTGGACCGAGTCAGACCCTGGTCAGAACCAAGCATCAGAAACATCCAGAACCTGGATGGACCTGGAACCAGAACCTGGATGGACCTGGAACCAGAAACTGGACGGACCGGTTCCTCTGCTACTGGTTCCCTGAGCTGAAGCAGAAAGGTTCTGGTTTTGGGTCTAACTTTCATCGGAACCGTTAACTGTTGATTTATTGATCTAAAGTTCTGCTAAACTGCTGGATCACTGCCAACTGTTCTGGTTCTGATTGGACCCCTATTGGGACTCACCTCTACCGGGACCAGTCTCGTGGACGCCACGCGTGGATCCGCTCACACGGTCCCCATCACGTCCGGAACCGCGGTCCAAAGATAGAAAGAAGCTTCCAGTCCAGCTGTGGGCTCCTGGTTCTGGAGGATCAGAACTCTCCTCTGTTGGGTTCTGGGCCTTTCGGTACCGGGACAGCCAGGCTGGGCTCCCCCCTCCCTCTAACCGGGTCTAACGGAGGATCCGGACCAACTTTTCTCCTGGTGACGTCACCGTCCGGTACAGGAGGACCGGAAGACGGAGGGCCGGGCTGAGGCCCGGACCCTGGATCCAGGCAGGCCGGTCCGAACAGAACCGGGCTGAAACTCGGCGATCCGGCAGAGAGTCCGGCCGGGGTCCGGCTCCGGTCCGGCGGCAGAGGGACGGTCCACGGAGAACCGGGTCCGAACCGCGGAGAAGGAGGAGAAGAGAGAAGCAGAGGGGAGAGGCTGGCCGGTGGCCTGGCCGCGCGGCGGGAGGGTGCGTGAAGGAGCGAGCGGCGCGTCCCCGAGGAGCGCGCAGCCCGGCCCGCTCCTCCCCCTCCTCCTCCCCCTAACAGAGGTCTCACTCTGACCAGGTTTGCTCTGACTGAACCTCATCCCTCAGCATCATGCTCCCACTGCCGTGGAAATGCATGAACTCCTCAGAGCCTCTGCTGCTGGTTCTGTTCTGGACCGGCTCTGTTCAGAAACCAGCTGGACCTCCAGGTTCTGGTGATGCTGGAAAAAAAAAGATCCCATAAAGAACAACCTGGACTCAGTTTGGTGAATAAATGCACTTCAGTTCTTTTAGAGCAGAAATGAAGTGAAGTTTAATGAACTTTTAAATAAAATAACCTTAAACCCTTTCAGCAGAGGAAGGCCTGGAATACATCCCATCATCTGCATCCTGCTGTTAGAAGCTCTGCTGCACTAAGAGTCTGAATTCAGATGATTCCTGAACAGAAAAACAAGCAAACAGATGAAGCTTCATATTCAGTCAGAATTAAGGACCGAACTGTTTTAATCCCTGATGGATGAAGTACTCAGCAGTAGTACTTTAGTAAAAGTTTTAATACTAGTCAAATGTTACTCAACTAAAGTAAACTAAGTAAAAGTTACTCAGTCAAACATCTACTCAAGTTAAAGTATTAAAGTACTCACTTTTGAAAATACTTAGGTATTCAAAATGACATGCATTTAAAATAGTAACTAAATGTTCTAACATCAGAGCATTTCTGTCTATTTTTCAGAGTTATTAACTTTCAGGAACCACCTGATGTATTGATGCGTAGAACCATCTGATATAGATTCTGCACCACCTGGAAAGAACTTCAGCATAAAAGCACCAAAAGGAAAAAAAAAAAAAAGGACAGATATTTTGATCTTTATTTGTTATTCAAAATCAAACTAAAGGAGACTCATTATTCTTTTCCTAATTTTACTATGCAATAGATGTTTAGGCTAAATCTATGACAGAGAAACTGTAACTCTGCTTTAAGACTCATTCTACAGAACAACGTGGCCGCATGGCAACAACTAACGCCTCTGTAAAATTATAAACTATTAATGACATCTGTTGTGAGCTTCTCTCATCTTTAGAACATTGTTAAATCTCTAAATCAGTGGCGTCCAGATTCAGTCCTGATGGCTGCTGTCCGCCATGATAGAAATTCATTAATAGAAAAACAGCAACAGAGCATTAAAAGCTAAGCTGAGCTAAAAGGAACAAGGAACTGGCAGTTTTCTGGAAATGCAGTGGAGTGAAAGTTATAAATATCTGCCCAAACAATTACTTAAGTAAAGTAAAGATACTCAAAAATATTACTCAAGTACAGTAATCAAGTAAAAATATTTTGTTACTTTCCATCACTGATTTGATAAAAATTCCTCCTGGAGCAAAGTGGGATTAAGAAACTGATTTATTAGATTTGATACTTTTTCTAAATACATCAGTGAAGACAGAGCAGATTTACATGCAATCATTAGTAACTAAAGCTACACACATCTTTTTTCATAATCAATTTATGTTTCTACAGAATATATTCATTAAATGAACAGCTGATCTTCATTATTAGTTACACAGAAGACTCCTAAATGACTGCAAACAAGTATTTTGTGTTGATCATCTTTGTTGAAAGTATCTTAAATGATTTATTCTCCATACTGCATGTTGTATTGTATTAATAAACTCATAGCTCAGCTTTACTCCATTGGTCTGGAAGACAGTGATGTTCTGTAGGTCTGCTGTCTGTCTACATGTGGTGTTAGTCTGTTTATGTTGATATCTGCACTTCTTAATGTTTGGTGGTTTCTTATTTAATCATTTACATTTATTTACCATCAACCTAAATCCTTCTTAGAGTGTCGACTGGACCTTACTTCTGCTCTAAACTTTCAACTCAATTCAGTTTCTATCTAAGGAAAACCAGTTGATTTCATTGACTCATTGACTCTTCAGCAATCCCTCACACTAAGCATGCTTGCAGCGACAGTGGAGAGGAAAAACTCCCTTTGAACAGGAAGAAACCTCCAGCAGAACCAGGCTCAGTGTGAGCGGCCATCTGCTGAGGCCCACTGGGGTTCAAGGAGACAGAAGCAGACATAGAAAAAGAAGCATAGATACAAAAGGCAACTGTCAACCAGCTCCACAGGCGGCCCCGTCCAGGAAACACACAGCCAGGCAGACGAGCTCCGAGCCAGCTCCCATGTCAGAGGATGAAGAGAGCACATCCAGTTAGTCACAGTCAGAGAAACAGGACTACACTGGAAAACAGGCCAAGCTCCAACATCTAGAAACAAAGGTGTTGATGGCAGCAGCACAGCTGATATTTCTCTCCAGGATGGAGTCACAGCCAAACAGGAACAGACCAGATGAAGCTACTATGAGAAAAAGCAGAGAGAGCAGAACGTTAGAGATTGAACTAACAGATTCTGCAGAGTGGGAGAATAGAGATAGAATGAAGCAGAATGATGAAAAAGGGGTCCCTATGTCCTCCAGCAGTCTAAGCCTATAGCAGCAGAACTATAGAGATAGCTCAGGATAACCTAAGCCACTCTAACTAGAAGCTTTATCAAAAAGGAAAGTTTTAAGCCCAGTCTTAAAAGTAGACAGGGTGTCTGCCTCACGGACTAAAACTGGTAGTTGGTTCCACAGGAGAGGAGCCTGAGAACTAAAAGATCTGCCTCCCATTCTACTTTTAGAAATTCTAGGAACCACTAGTAAACCTGCAGATTGAGAGCGAAGTGCTCTGTTAGGAACATGAGGAACAATCAGATCTCTGATATCAGATGGAGCTTGGCCATTTAAGGCTTTATATGTGAGAAGGAGGATTTTAAATTCTATTCTGGATTTAACAGGAAGCCAATGAAGAGAAGCCAGGATAGGAGAGATATGATCTCTCTTTTTCATTTTCATCAGAACTCTGGCTGCAGCATTTTGGATCAGCTGAAGGCTTTTAACTACAGTTTGTGGACTTCCTGATAGTAAAGAATTACAATAGTCCAGCCTTGAAGTAACAAATGCATGGACTAGTTTCTCAGAATGGAGATGAGTCAGGTGTTTGCCACATTTTGAAGAAATGTGGAGAACCAGAATCAACTGACTTCTGCTCTGTGCTGGTTGTTACGTCGAATCTCAATAAAAGAAGCTGAAGTTTTGGGTTTGTTGGACAGAATTCCTTTTTCCGGTCTCTGTAAGGTCTGACCTTGGTCTCTGTAGAGGATTTAGGAAATGTCAGAGATTTGCTCTGATTATCTGGAGCTGCAGGATGGCGGAGCAGAAAGCAGCCAGCTGTCGCTGGGTGAGGAGGGCAGAGCAATGGGCTGCAGCTGAACGTAGATCTGTGTCTGTTTCAGGTGAAGCTGCACGTTATGGAAACTCTACTCATCATTTTCTGTTTCACTAAGTTCTAGTTTTTAGTTTTCTCTCAGATTTAGCAGCATTTAGAGCCGCTGCATCAGAAACATTAAATCCTTCTCTTTATTGTCAATACATAAGATAAGATAAGATAAAATAAAATAAGACAAGACAAGATAAGAAAAAATAAAATAAGACATGACCAGATAAAATAAGACAAGATAAGACAAGACAATATAAGATAAGAAAAAATAAAATAAGACAAGACATGATGCCGTTTTCCCTTAGAAATTCGTCGCTCTAAAAATGATACACATCAGGTTTGATCAATTTAAATATTAGGAAGGATTTAAAACCGCAGAGGATATAAAGCGATTTAGACGGCATCTAAAAGAGTAAAATGGGCTTTTAAATGTCTGATAATCATGTCTTTATGTTGAGGAACCAATGAGAACTGTGCTGTAGTGGGTCATCTGTCTGACGGAGAAGATCTGTGGTTAAAGCAGCAGTCTGTGTTTTTAACAGGAGGAGCAGCTGAAACCAAACCTGCAGCTCAGACAGCAGCTGGGAGGATGAAACCAGCAGGGGCGGAGCTAGAAGGGGGCCAATCAGGGGCCACCCCAGCCAGGGGATTTGTTGTTATCATTGAAACCTACTTAGCAGGCTCCTGAACAAGCAGAGGGGGGCAGCAGAGATAACCTCAGGGGGATGTTCTAACTTCATCTTTTAGTTGTTGGTATATTTAGCATAAACCGGCAGCAAAATTAAAGTAGTAATTAAATTATTAACATTAAAATGTTAAAGCTAAATAGGACATAAACAGAATTTTCAGAACCAGGTTTTATCATGTAAAGATCATCAGGTGTCTGCTATAAAATCAGCCATAAAGAACCATTGCTCAACCCCATTCAGTGTTTATTCTGCAGAACCCCTTCAGACAGCATGCATGTAGAAATACTTATATAGATTTATTAGTGATAGTTATTGTCATCATTGATCAATGCACGTTGGCCCCTGCCTGGTCCCCCCTATGCAAACATCGCTCTCAGTGAGGAGGAGCCTCAGCAGGGCAGCAGGTAGAGGTGGTGTCGGTTTCTCCTGCTGTGTATCATCAGGGTGTGGTTGTGTGTCTCCTCCTCCAGGAGCAGCTCCTGCTGTAGCCGATCTCTTTGCTT